TTAATTTCACTTCGCACCATACGATAACTTTGTCCAGATGACAGGGATAAAGTAACCTCCATATTTGATCACAGCTGCAGGTCAAGACCTCACCAGGTCTCAAAGCTTACAGGCCAGTTCTCCTTAGCGTAGCTCGGTAAAGGCGTAGGAAATGTTTTTATTCTTCGTAATCATAATATTTTTGAACTTAAATTGCTGTTCAGAGTAGAGACATTTCAAGTCGTTCTCGTGTCTTCCACTACCTCCCCCCCCCCATTGTCCCCGTAAATAAATTTGAAGGTGAGTTCCAGTGTGATCGATTTACTCGGTCTGTTGGTAGCTACACTCCTACGATTGCAATGACTGTAAAAAGAGATTTTATAGAACGAGCCTCTGTGACCCTTGGATCACTGCCGTGGAATTAGGAGGCACGCGCGTCATGAAGCACAAAACCGCTGTTGCCTTCCGTGCGTTGCTTCGACTGATGCCGGACGCTACGTACGATCCATTAATTTGCTAACGATGGTATTTAATCACCCCGGGGCGCCTCTCCGTTTTCATCGTTGAATTAATCCGTCGACACGACCGTTCTGCTCAGGTGTCCCGGTTGCTGTGCGATCGACGATAGCAGCTGTGCTGCCGTCGAACGACCGAACAACTGCCGCTGAACATGGCGAATTGGTGTCGATCGCAAAAATCACCAGCGAACAGAACACTGGCTAAAATGAGGCAAAACGGTACCGTCCGGAGTCACACAACAATGCTACCGTTTAAATGCCTACGTCGCCTGCCAAACGGGCGAGTGTCGCCCACCCAGTCATTGACGCGAAGTGCGACGAGCAAATACGATGGCAAACAGTTGAACAGAGGGCAATTCGAGGGTGTTTTTTTCTCAAGAGTTTTACTGATCGCCTATCCTCTGTTCAGAACTTCAGTGATAACAGAAAGTGACTCTGCAGCGTTGATAAACCGCCGGGTAGTAAGTTGATAGAACAGAAATCACCGGGACAAAGCGACTCGACGTCGTTGAGCAGTCATTACTGGTTTTATATTTTTAACTTTTCACATCGCGCATTTCTGGCCTCATACAGTAACCTTCTAGTAGGTCAATGGTGTTCCATCGGGACCACATCCTGACATGGACAGAACAGCTCCCGGTGCAGCCAGACATTACAACCGAGACAACGTAGTGGAGTTGGGCAGTCACTATGCATACTGACCTTCTAGCATTTCACCTTGTAGACTTGTAGTCAGACGGAAAACAACTGTCACATCAAATGGTGCGAGATGAAGCGTACCTTCAGCCTATTTCCTGATGTGTTCACAACAGCTTGCGGTACGAACAGTAAATAGATGCCACTGTGCGCAAATTGATGATTTGCAAACAGCCGAGACAATGTGACGTTTCAGGGTAGTCAGTGCTGGTCTTCTTGCGCTAAGACTTTTGAACTCAGGCAGGTGACTCACTTCCTAACATTGTTAGCTTTATTGTACATTTATTTTCTCCTTAGAGGAAAAGCTTGAACGGAGAAAGCCGT